GTCGTGGAACACATCTTCTGGGTATTGAACGACCCCGGCGTCATTTTGGCCTGTGGCCCGGGGGGGGGGGGGGGGGGGGGGGTGCGGGAAAAAAAACAGAAAGCCTACTTGCTTCGCCGCTGGCCGTCTGTTGTGGAGTAATCATTAGCGTCTGCGGGACCAGGTCGCGATCGCATCACCCACCACCAACACCAGCAGCACCTCCTTGGTAGCGGATCTCTCTCTTATTGGCCTCTCTCTGCAAGCCTCGACCAATCAGCAACAACCACCGCCCGACCCGGCCCCCGAGACTTGTGTGGAGGCGGTGAGCCTCGTGCCGCCGCGGGGCGCCCCCGTGGGCTGGCTCTTCATGCGGCTCTTGATCTGGCTGGCCATCATCATGAAGGCCTTCTCAACGTTGGAGGCGTTCTTTGCCGAAGTCTCGAGGAACTCGATCCCGAGCGTGTCCGCGAATGCCTGGTGCAAAAAAAACAAAAAACATTCTTCGAATTATCGAAAAGACTACACACTGGAAATAACATTCACAACACGGGATACCGTTCTTGACGAGTGCTTGCTGCGCATATAAACATGGACACCAGAGAGATATGTTGACGTCGAGAAAAGAGATGGGATAGATGATCGAGTGCACCATATTGTATACATCCTCTCCTCGTTGACAACCTGATATTTATAGTCCCCCTCTGGCGAGAGGGGGAAGCCTGTGGCGCAGAAACAGGGGACCATCATATCGCAGCATTTCTCAACATAATAAAACACAAAACACAGATGAGGACGGAGTTCGGGGATCGGGCATATATATGCATACGAAGGTAGATAGAAGACGGTCGCTGTGCGGGTTGTGTTAAGGTTGCACGGTTACAACATCAGTGAATACGTGACAAGCATCCTGACAATTGTTGTAACCCGACCGGGCATCGTGCTGGAAGTGTACCTTCAAAACGATGCCCAGTCGGCTTAAAATACGTGTCAGCATGTTGATCATGTATATCATGGATGCAGGCAAAACAAAAAACTCAAGATAATTACTCATAACCGTGCAACCCTCACCACAACATGCAACATCAAAATGGGATACACACAGTACCGCAGGAGACACGGAAGGGAGACCCCGGACTTCGAGAGGAGCGTTCCTTGGGTGCTCCATTCAGACAAGGTTTGTTCTTCTCTTACCTTCTTGCCACTCCCCGAAGCAACAACAACAATAGACCCTCCCTTCCGCCCCTAACTTGTACCACATCATCCTGTCTGGTCTTTTCTGAGAGTATGTCGCCTCTTGTCTTCTCACCTTGGCTTCCTCCGTGGTGACCGCGCGCTTAGCCTCGAGATCGCTCTTGTTCCCCACCAGCAACTTGTTCACATTTTCACACGCATACCTGTGCGCAGCAGCGGCACACGGGCACATGGGGGATTGCACGCGAGAGGGTGCTGGTCGTGGGAGAGAGACACTTGTGTGCGGGACTTCTCGCTTTACGCCACCGCGAAAAAAGAGCGCACCCGTGCCATCGTTTCATGTTGCCCCCCCCGCTGGGCAAGCACACCCGCAACACCTTGTCCTTGTCTACGCCGTCGCTTTGCAGCTTAATTCTTGCTACTCCCTACCGTACGACACGAACACACACACACCTGCAATCAATCGTTTCTGTCTTCACATTGGACAACAAATAGCTCAGCCTCCGCCGTGACCCCCCTTCACCGGACCCCACACGATGGGTTTTACAGTCCATGCGTTTTTCCATATTGGGCCGCACTATAATAAGACTGACGTACACTATGCAGCAGTGGGCCCTGTATCGTGCCGGTCGAATACCGCAGTACCGGGTGCCCCGAATAGCGCTGGTGTTTTCGGCTCGCACACACTGGAATACCGAGTCGTTCTATACTTTCAATAGTGCCCGCGTGCGCCATAGTGCCGGCAAAAATCTCTCGACACAGGGCCCACTGCGGTATATAACTGGTCAGCTGGTCAGCTTCTATATAGCGCGATCGATGTAACAAACACACATACAGAGAGACGGCCTTTAGAAGGGCTTTCTGCTTTCAGTCGCGCTTGAGACTGACGCATTTCATTGGTCAGACTTTTTAGCGCGGCCGACGCCAATAAAAGACATAACACAACAGAATCTCACCACCCACCTGTCAATCTCGTGGAGCCATTGCTTAACGTTGTTGAACGACTCCTTGTCGGTGACGTCGTACACCACGATGATGCCGTGGGCTCCCCGGTAGTACGAGGATGTGATCGTCCGGAACCTCTCCTGTCCCGCAGTGTCCCACTACGCGCACAAGCACACAGCATTACGTACGTGTAGACAGATCATCCCAAGAAAGGGCGACGACAACCCGCCAAAGGAAAAGCAGTGAAAAACAAGGGGTTAAAATATAGTTGAAGTGATAAAAAAAAGTAAGAAAATGTCATGACCGCGGAGCACAAGGGGAGAAACACTAGGAAGGCGCGCACGACGGTACAGACAGGAGGCCACCGGATGAGATAGATGCATGTCGCAAACACCAAAATGTCAAAAAGTGTGTGCGCGTTCAACTCGCCAATAAATGCTTATACAGAACAAGAAGAGAAATAAGTTTTTCACACACGCAAACGAAGAGACGACCAGATCAATGCTGCTGCTGCTGCTCCTGCTGTTCTCAGATCGCAGAGAAAGCAGAGATGCCCTGGCAAATGGTCCATCCGACAACCGAACATCGTCCACAGCAGACAGACTACCGGTTCATGCGACTGGAACCGACCACCGCTCTACAGCAGGCCTGCAACCAACACTGCAACACAAACACACTCACAATTTGCAGCTTGATGGTCTTGCTATCAAGCTCGATGGTGCGGATTTTCTGCCCGACGCAACGAACAAGCGGCAGCAAGCGGAGGGGGGGGGACACAAAAAACACAGTTGGATTATAGGCGGGCACCCGGACGCAACGGGCCGAAAGCAACGAAAGCAAACGAACAGCCAGTTCCCTCCGCCAGTACAGCAGTAGTGACGAGCGCGACTGGATCGTGCATAGACTATGACGCGCGTGAACAACGTCATGGCGTTCTGCAAAGAGTGGTCGAAACACCGAGGCGAGCAGCAGATGACTACCCTACCCACACCCCGTGCACTACCTCATTACCAGCGCCATAGCATTTACGCTTGAAACGTAGCGTGGAAATCATCAAAACGGTGGTCGACTACGCAGAAGCCACGACCGAGGAATAACGACAAAACTTGTCGCGTAAGCAGAAACAAATAGCAAATGAAGTCCGAGCAAAAACAAACGCTTTTAGGGTTGGCGGCAGATCACAGATACTTGGCGGCAAGAGGGGCAGGGCGCAATGTCGTCATCTGTACAAGCACAGCACTTCTGAATCTTGGAAGCTGGCGCCAATGTGCTCAGTCTCCTCCGCGGCACCCCTCGCAGAGGGGACCGTGACATCGAAAGCATTCTCCTAGTTGTGGGGTGGCCAAATCTGCCGCCGTCTATCGCTGGCCAGTCGGTGAGCGCGGTCGACGACAATCGAACAAACACGTGCGCATGCCTGCCCGACTCACCCCCTTCCATTCCATTGGTGAAGCGCTAGACGCAGTCAGCCAAGCACACACGCGCGGACGCCAAACACTTCAGCAACCACTCACAAAGTCCACCCCGATGGTAGAGATGTAACTCTCCGTGTAGGTGTCGTCCGCAAACCGCAACAGCAGACACGACTTTCCCACGCCCGAGTCTCCGATCAACAGCAGCTTAAACAGGTAATCACTGGTTCGATTGAAGTGTACGCCCAAGACAAGGACGGAGGAAGGGCGAAAGAAAAACAGGTCACGGATTTTCTTGTATATGCGAGGTGGCCAAACAGCATCCGAGAGAGGACGGACGGACGGACGGCAGACAAACATACATGGCACGTTGAGGTGGGAGAGACATGACCCGTTCACACACGCACACGAAACACAATTCGCTCGACAAGGAGTCGGAGGGTGGAACCGCAGAACGGCACGCAGAATGCCGCACAACGTGGGGCACGTTTCGTCCACGATGTGAACATAAATATTCCTATCCTTTCATTTCCTTTTCCAGCAGGTATGGGCGAGCACGTAGGTAGGTACGTTGCGTGTGGACGTGGACATGATCCAGGACACGCGACAGGCGGCTTTCGCAGCTCGAGACAGGCCAAAAAGGCTGCATCGTCCGTGGGGTGTGTCGGAACGAGGCAAAAAAACGCGCTCAATACAATGTCGCATCTATCTGTGTGTCTCGCCTTCTCTGTGCTACTAAACCTGCCATCACGATGCCCCCATACAAAAGGTTTCGGCTCGGTGGACGGGTCGAGCAGTCTAAAGCCGACAAACATGTCACCACCCGCGGGTCCGATGCTCGATGAGGATACCATGTTTGAAGCAACATGGCCGCATCCACGCAACTAACTCAAGTCCCTTCGTGCTTATGCCTGATGTCAACGTGTTTGTTTGGCGTACACGGTCGGTCGATTTGTTGAATACGCACATTCTGTGGCGTCGTTGATCATCGTTGACGTCGATAATCGTTGATAACGTCAATGTACGCCAAACAAACACTGACATCAGGCTAAAGGACGAAAGGACTTGATGTAGTTGCGTGGATGCGATCATGTTGCTCCAAACATCGTAGGAGCTAGCGGGATGCATCCCTTCACACACGCAAGGAAAGGTGTGTACCATACTTAAACCACACGCTCATCCCCCTTTGCGAAAAAAACAATCGAACAAGCCGACCAGCTGACCATTGGCTAAGACATCAGGCTGCGGACGAACACTTCGCGCGTGCTGCTGCGGCTGCTTGACGACAGCGTGCACAAATGGTCATGCCCCTTGCCATCGCATAGCCTTTTCTTCACCTATCGCGGGTGTTTCACTCTCTCAAAGCACACGCTGTGCCAGCAACGGGAGGCAAGCTGGGCCTCAAAAAGGGAGGGGGGCGACGGTGGCTTAACCAGGACCTGTCCGAAACTGCCGTATGGTCGTCACAAGAATATTCGATAACCTAGTAACATCGGTTGTACTCTCGACTGTTTCCGGGCATGCATGCCCCTTTCTCCCCTGCCACGCTGTGAGGTATTCTCCGATACTACTGTAGGTCATGATGTCGCCGACGGCTGTCCGTAGAAGAAAGGGTCGACAACCGACCAGAGAGAGAGAGAGGGCATCATCGAACACGATTCTCGTGAAGCGGTACAACTATCGAACAATGCTCTTATATCCGGGCTTCTTGGCCGCGTACACCCGACACCGGCCCCGGCACACTCGGTGCAATACACTCTCTGACTGCATATCTTGAACACCCTGTATACCTCGTATGTTCGTCTGTGTTTCTGCGATGTGTGGGTGCTCCCTTCTGTGGATATTTAGCGTGTGACCACGGAAGGCGTCCGCCCTCGTCAGCTGGACCGGTACGAGAAGTAGAGGGGTTTGAGGAGACTTTCGCGTGGACGAATGCTTGAGTGCCAAGCAACACTTGAAAGAACGGGCAAGTGTGTAGGGGTCAATTCTAACAGCGATCCAAATCAGTTCTTTGGCCGCGCTTCGTGACCAAGAGAACAAGCAAGTCTTCGAAGCGGAGGAATGTATATATAGCTCTGCTGCGAACAAGGGGTTGCTGTTGCTGTCCCCTGAAAACGTGGGAGGTTACTTGAAGATTTTTCACCCTCGTCGGGCTGTCTTTCTCTGGTGATGGTAGTTGTCGAGATAAAGGTCATCTCCGCTAAATAGCTGTGTCACGACACAGGCGGGGCTTGTCGGCTGTACCGTGGAGCCGGAGTAAACACAGCGCCTTCCATCTGCAGTGTCTCCCTCCCTCAGAGAAGAACACAGTCGCAGCAGCAGTGACCGGCATATACAACAGCAGCGGCACTGCTGCCGCTCTGCTTTCCTCTTTGGTTCGCCGCGTTGCAGCACGAGCCGTGCTTGCCACTACTGCTGCCATTGCTGCACACAAGGAGCAGCAGCAGTAGCCAGCTTGCGGATCCATTGGAACAAAAAAATAACGTGCCCAATCAGAGGCGCACACATAACCCCCCGACGCCCGCTGTCTCCACAAAAAAAAAACGTGGTACATGGTATGGAACAACCTCCCTGTTGTGGACTTCTCGACACCCAATGATCTAGACGGCAGACCAGTGTTTCTTGCCGGCATGTACTGGACATACAGCAGCTGTCGTCCAATCTGTGATCAACGGTGTGCGTGTGGTGCAACGTGCAAGGTATGCATACCAGGTACACCAGGATGTACAACAATACAAAGCAGGGAGAGAGGTTCGGTTTCTCGACCTGCTGTACATTGGTGTACCATAGCGAGAACAGCAAACAACAAACAACGACGGCGTAGGGGTGGACAGCCAGCCAGCCCCCTTCCATAATTCCAGCAAATACGTCTCGATGGCGTTGCACAACGGCGGCAGCAAAAAACCGGAGAACAATGGGCACCCGCCACACGGCCTCGGCTACCTCTTGTGTTTGTTTGTGTCTTGGATGTCTTGATCTATTAGACCACGATCGATCGAAGACATTTTGGAAAACGGAAGGTGAAATTGATATCGGCGTCAGCAGCAGAGAGAGAACAAGGAAAAGAGACCGAGAGAGAGACCCAAACAAATGCCGAGAGACGGGATGGCCGTTGACAACCTCACTGGACATCAGCAACAGGGGCTTCATCCCATCCTAATCGGTGCATCGTGTTAATCACGAGTCTGCTATACAGCTGCTGCTGCTGCTGCTGCTGCTGCTGCTGCTGCTGCTGCTGCTGCCTCTCCCAAAAACACACCCCCTGTAGAAGGCACGTCCCCGAAGAGAGACAAGAGAAACTTTTCTTCAACGTCAAAATATATAAAACCTCGCTCACTATTCCGGGTTCATCTTGCCCTCCCGCCGTCACACGCAGCTCTCTCCTTCTTCTCTCTGTCTCTTGCTGGCAGGCTGGGCGTGCGGTCTCTCGCTCCCCCCTGTTATGCTAAGCGCGCGTGTGTGTTCTCCTCTCGTCTCTCTTGTGCTGTCGCCGTCATTTTTTTTTTTTCGGGAAACGCCTTCGAAGATAAATATCATGGGGCCAACGGATTGCCGGCCGTGTCGCCGTGTATTCTACATCCTGTACTTCCGTTGCGAACCAACAAGTTTTCCTGGAAGCGGGCGGGGGGGAGTCTGGATGGCTTTGGAGAGGACCGTCAGGGAGAGATGAAGAAGCAGAAAAACGGAAGCAGCAACAAGCTGCTCCTGGGCCAGGCGTTGCTCCCGGCAAAAGACGATGGACAAGCACGAACAGCAGAACCCGCTGCTGCCGCTACTGCTGCGTTCCCTGCAGGAGCAGCTGATTGCGGTTCTCCCGCTTACACCTCCCTGCTCCAGCAGCAGCAGCAACTGGAACAGCAGCAACAACAGCAGGAAGTTGATCCACCCGAGAAGCAAGGGCACAGCGGTGATGGCGGCGGGGGGGCGATCGCGCTGGTGACGAGGGGCTGCGTACAGGGACGGAAGAGCTCGATCGAGAGTATCCTTGACAACATGTCGTGCGGCAGCACGATCCGCTCGGCCGGCACGGAGTGGAGGCTAACCCGCGCCGTCGTGCACCTGGAGGACGCCTGGAAGGGTAGAGTCAGCCCCTGCCCGCCGCTGGAGAAGATCGAGCCCGCTACGCGGGCGCTGTTCAAGATGAGGTGGAAGTACCAGGGCCTAGAGTTCCTGGTGGTTCACCTGCTGCTCTGTGAGTGATACTAACAGCAGTATGTTCCGTAGGCTGCGCTGGGTCACGTCTCTCTCTCTCTGTGGTGCAGAATTTTGTTTTCCGTGTATAGCGAGAACCGCCGTATTGTACATGTTGCCGTATTCACGTAGCGGTTGTTGTGCTAGTGCTGTGTGTGCTAGTCGTTCGGCATAGCTACGGCCCGAGAGTGCGATGCCAATGGGTTCAATGCCACGCGGGGGCGAAGGCTGGCAAACGCAACGCGGATTTAGCTGCTGGTAAGCCGTGACCGACCGAAGAGATTGGCCGCTGCGTCCAACAATTTCCGCGATGATTCTTTAGATCCGCAACTCTATTGTAGAGAGAGGTTGGCGCACAATTCCGTTGTTATCTACTATACGTGTACTCTTGTACTGCTGTAGAGTTGTCTGGATTCATCGAGGTTTCCGTGTCGTGCAAGGATGTTGGCTGGGCTTGTGCGTGTCGTTTTCCGGTTCCGCCACAGAGCCAAGAACTTGCAGCACTATAATACAATGTCAACATGTCAACTACTACTGTAGCTTTGCGGTCCACGACGGGGTACTACAGCTGTACCAGGTACACCCTTGTAAAGAGCAAGAGAGTTCGGGACTTGGAAGAGCAGCAATTGAAGAACAGCAGCTATATTATCCGTTCGGTAGTCGAAGGGGTGTGTTGGATCAATAATGTCCTTGCAGCGGGTGAGTGGGGAAGAAAGGCTGCTGGAACACTGGGCTATCCTCGACTGCCATGCATTTTCAAAGCTGTGTGTTCCATTTTTCAATTCGCATCGACCACCGGGGCAAAGCTGCGTGTGTGTGCCGGTACAGCAGTAACTCGCGCCATGCCGAGGAGGTCGGAGGGATTTGATTTGATCGCCGTAGGACGAGACTAACCTCGCTTGCGAAAGTTGTGCGTTGGTTTGGAGCAAACTCTACAGCAGTGTTGGCTGCATGCAGCCGTATCTAGTACCGCTGCTGCGCGGGAGGGCGTTTTTTTCTGGAGGCGCGGTTGGTGTACAAAAGGCCCGGCGTGCAATGGCCTTAGAGCGGAAAGTAAGAATTGCAGGGAGGGCTGATGCACATGCTGGCGGCACCGGCCCACGGACGGTGATACCGGAGATCACGGAGATTACCACATCACTTCATCCCTTGTACTATTTGTGAGGCTGGAGATGCTTGGTGGGGCTTGGTTGGTTGAACACTACTGGCAGAAAAATTAAAATTGCGACTGCTGCTGTACGAGGCATGATTCCAAGAGGCCAGCGGCGGGGCATTGCATGGGGCATCAGGCCATCGATGGACGCACTTGAGCCATTTTAGAAAAATTGCGCCCATACATTTAGATATAGATGCACACACAGCGCGCCCCGGGAGTGGGGTCGTCGGAGCATAGTAAACAGTAGTAGTGTCATGAAGGCGTGATGCAAGATGAAAGTAAAGCATGGTAAAGCAGTATGTTGGTGTGAATGATGCCTGCTGTCATTGGTGACTGGTGAAGTTTCCCAAGCTCGAACAGCTCACACAACCGATGCGTTTTTGACTCAACAGCCCAGCGAACCTCAACGAACCAACAAGAAAATAATTTGCAAACCTGTGGACAGTCTCTAGTGCAGGCTTCAATTACGGAACGACTAAATACGTAGCCGTTCGAGATAAAATGATACCCCGTTCAAAGGTATGTGGTTTCTGAAGTCATTGGGCTGGCGCACACGTGGGAACAATTGCAGGAGGGGGCTGCTGAGGGGATGGACAACCGGCTGGAAGACGGCAGCAATCGAAGCTTTTCTCTCAGCAGTCTTGGACACGCTTCCACAACCTCTTCACCGCTCCAAATCTAGATCGTGCGCCCTGAATCTGTCGTGTCTATGTATACCTGGCTCCGTCCTCTCGAGGACGCGTGGTCAATGGTCCAACCGCTAAAAAAGGCTTGAAAAACATAAGAGTACGCCCCCCCGTTTCTTCTGGCCCGCCTCATCCGTTCGCTCTCTCTCTCTTTGCGCTCGTGCCCCGTCGGCCCCTCCTCTCGCCGACCCCTTGCTCGCTCCTCTCTTACTTTGCCCTCAGTCATGTCGATGGTGGAGACGCCCGCGTGGTGCATGACGAACGGCAGGTGCTTCTGGAGCTGCTACCCGGACTTCTCGAGGAACTACCACATGTCCCAGGTCACCGCCACACTGATCGAGGGGCTGCTGCTGCTGGTGCTCTCGGTCATCGCTCTCGTGGATGTGGTGAGGCTTTCCCTCTGCGCGGCGTTTTGTTTCTTGTTCGTCGTAAACGGTGTTGCTTTTGTTCTTCCTCTGCTGCTGCTGCTGCTGCTGCTGCTGCTGCAGTACTGTTAGTCGTCGTCGTCGTCGTCGACTCGTGGTACTTATGGTGGCCGTGTTGAGGACCACCCCCCCCCCCCCCCCCCTGCAACCCGTCATGCGACTCGTAACGATGGCCACACGTACGTGCTCACAGGAGGAAGTGAAACATTTTGTGATGTTGGGACTCTACAGCATCAAGAGTGTGGTAGTCGTTTTGTGTCTCGGTCTTGCCGGTACTACCGGTGGGCCGGTTGTCGGTGTTGAATGACGGATGGGTGGGCATCCTAGTACGTTTGACCTCCGGGTCGATGGTGGGCTAGGCTCTCCCTGTTTTCTCTACGCTCTTTTTCTCCACGCGCTTTTCCTCTGCGCGCGTTTTTTTGTCTCCGCGCCGCTGCAGAGCCCTATTGCAAAGGGGTGCACACGCGACGCTCGATGGATTCTTCGCGTATAGCGCCTCGAAAACGCTGCCCTGCGGGCGAAAAACACTGACAACGCAGCGCGTGTAGGCCTTCTCCGGCGCAACGCCAAACAACCCGAGCCCTCCTCGAATGCAATCTTTTGACGTTTGACTTTTTTTGTTCTCTCACCCGGGCATCCAGCGATACATGAGTGTGCACCCCCCCCGTCCACGTCCACGTCCACGTCCCTCCATCCCTTTTGCGCCGACTTCGCCGTTCCCAGAAAACGTGCGGGCGCGACTACTGGGCGGGCTCCCGAAAAGGCCGGTACCAGTCGATGTGGTTCAAACACGGGACCATCGCGTCGTACGCGGCGCTCTTCCTCCTGGCGGCGCTGGTGGACTACCGCGCTCACCTGGTGTGCGAGTACTGCCGCATCCTCCTCTACCTGGCGGTGCACCGGCGAACCGTGTTGGTGGTCATACAGCTCAGGTTTGTGGAGCGAGTGTTTTGTCTGTTGTTTTGCATCGACCGTGCTAACCGGCAGGCCAATAGCGAAACGTCCAAGTCTCAGCGGGGTTTGAAAACACCAAATGCTTCTGGAGGCCGTGATCTAGGGGAGGCTAAGCTGTTTATATGTTTGTGATTTTGCTTCGACCCGCACCCGCCGGCTAACCCATGAAAATACTTCGTCAGGCTTGTGTCAGGCGGGACAAACGACGCGAACACGCTTTTTGGTCGAAAGGTTCTACCGACAGAGGGGGCTTGTGTGTGTGTGTGTGTGTGCAGACTATTGCCGTCTACCGCGCTAGCCGGCTGACCATTGAAAAATCGTCAGTCCCACTGCGGCTAGGAACGGAAGACGCTTTTCCGGAACATCTTGGGGGGAGTCATGGGGGAAGCTGCGTGTGTATGCGTGTGTTTGACTGTTTATGCTTCATTCGTTGGCATCGCCGCGCTGCCGATGAAGAACCGTCAATGTCAGCGGGAAGAACATGAGTTAAGGTCCCCGGAAGGTGGAGGCAACAATCGAAAAGCGGGCGTCGCCCAGAATGCCACTATAATAGGAAACCTTCCAGGGGTGTCTTCGGGCGGGAACCGCATGTGTGTGTGTGATTGTGCGCTTCTTTTCTCGACGATGCGGAGAAGAGAAGCAAAGAAAAGCACACACACACGTTTTGCTTTCCCTCGTGAAGGTGTTTGTGGAACGGTTTTCTTGTGGCATTTAGGGCGATTTCCGGTTTTAGATTTTTGTTGGGAAAAGTACAGGGCCAAGAGGAAACAGGTGAAGGGACTAGTGAAAAAGAAGAAAAGTGCATTTGGGACGAAATAGTGCAGAAGGCCAACGGAGGCCTGGAGGGGAACGTCAAGCAGATGTGGGAAGGGATTAGTGGGATGGTAAAAAAGACCGCGCAAGGGGGGGATACAGGGGTAGCAACATTGCGAGGTGTGAACGGTGGACTAGTCAGCAGTGGGAAGGGAAAAAGGGAAGTTCTAGCAGGACACTACAAGAGACTTGGAGTGCCGTCGGAGAATGAAGATTTTGACCAAGTGTTTAAGAAGGAGGTGGACGCATGGGCCCAGAAAGAAGAAGAGACATCAAAGGCAGACGTTGGGAACGTAGAACTAGAAAAGGAGTTCACTGAGGACGAGGTTGAGGCGTGTGTGAACAAGCTGCAGTGCAACAAAGCAGCAGGGGCGGATGGGATAGTCAACGAGTTCATGAAGTTTGGGGGGAAGGGGATGATCCAGCTGATGGTACTGCTGTACAACTGGGTGTGGAAAAACGAGTATGCGCCAAGTAGATGGCGGGAAGAGGTGGTTGTGAACTTGTTTAAGAAAGGAGACAAGACTGACCCAGGAAACTACAGGGGTATCACACTGTTGAACACAGTAGGAAAAGTGTTTTGTAAGCTGCTGAACGATAGGATAGTGGGAGTATTGGAGAAGAAACGTAGCATTAGTGAGGGCCAGGCAGGTTTCCGACAGAAGAGGGGGTGCGTAGACCACGCATTCACGGTAGGGAGAATCATCCAAGGTAGAAAGAGGGCGGGAAAGCGGACGTACTGCTTCTTCCTGGACGTGAAAAAGGCATACGATACCGTATGGAGAAATGGGCTGTGGAAACAATTATCCAAGTACGGGATCAAGGGGAAAATGTGGAGGGTGCTGAAGAAGATGACAGAGTGTACGAAAAGCGCGGTCATGCTAGACGGAGAACTTTCTAAATTCTTCGACATTGAGCAAGGGGTCCCACAAGGTTGCACGCTGTCCCCAACATTGTTCCAGGTGTTCATCAACGATCTGTTGGAAGTCGTAGAGGCAGTCCGGAAGGGAGTAAAAGTAGGGGACACGGAAACGTTGGTGTCAGGAATGCTGTTTGCGGATGATTTTGTTGGTATGTCGGACACCCCTGAGGGACTGCAACTGCAAATTGACGCGGCGAAGAAGTTTACTGATAAGTGGAGATTGTCTGCCAACGTTACGAAGAGTGCCGTCATGGTATGCAACGAGGGCAGGGAGGAACCAGTAGAACATAGATGGAAGTGGGGGATCGAGGAGATTGCAGTAGTGGACCAGTACACATACCTCGGAGTAGAGATCGCAAAAGATTGCTCGTGGAATGCACACATGTCCAAGGTAGCGGAAAAGGGCAAAGCACGAGCAGGGAAGCTGCACCCAATACTCGCAAACCGGCACCTTGATACACGCATCAAATTGACGGTGTTGAAGAGCGTAATCGCACCGCCGCTAGAGTACGCCGGAGAAGTATGGGAAGGAAATAAGAAGGTAGTGAAAGAACTCGAGGCGGCGCAGATGAAAGCAGCGAAAATCATCCTAGGATGCTCCAAGCGCACAAGTAATGCAGCAGTCAGGGCAGAATTGGGGATCCAATCCCTACGGTCGGGAAGAGACGTAAGGAAGCTGACATGGCAGTATCGCATGTGCGGGATGGGAGAGGAGAGGTTGCCGAGAATAGTATGGGAGGCGAAGTGGGCAAACAAAAAGAGGGGTAGACAACCCACGGAATGGGTCAAGGTTGTAGAGGACGTATGGAAGGGATTGGACATCGACGAAGATGAAACGCTGGAAACGGAGGGTCCTCCGGTGGTGCAAGGAGAAGATATCTGTTGCTTGTGCCGACAGAGAAGAACAGAATCTAAGGAAAGAATCCAAGGATAAGGAGGGTCTAGAAGTGTACGGAATGTTGAAAGAAGGAATAGGGTTCAAGGATTACCTACATGGACCAATGGATGCAGGGACAAAGCTTAAGGTCAAATTCAGGACCGGGGACATAGGCCTTCGCGAACGTCGACGAAGACATAGGACGGTAGACGACGAAGACGATAAGTTCAAATGCGATTGCGGCTTCGAATGCGAAGACAGTGTTCATGTAGTCGCGGAATGTCCGTGGTACGAAAAGGAGAGGGAAGTGTACATGACTGAGCTGGGAAGAATACAAGTGACGTACAGGGAGATGTTTGAGGCATGGAATAGAGAGGAGAGGACGGTAGCGGTACTGGGGAGTAGAAAGTGGTTTGAAAAGGCGGGAAGGGACATCGGTAGGATAGACAAACTAGGGAAGACATTTTTGAGCCACCTTTGGCAAAGTAGGAAGGAGCGATTGGCCATCGGTGATCGGTCCTGTGGGAACAATGCTCCGTCCTCTCGAGGACGCGTGGTCAATGATCTAACCGCTAAGGCATGCAAAACATAAGAGTACGCCCCCCCCCGTCCGGGGACCTTGACTGGTGTTTACCCGCTGACGCTGATACTTGGTATCTTCACCATGCTACAGGGCTGCCCGATGGAGACGTCGCTCTCAAGGTGTAGAGGTGTGCTTGCTTTGTTCACGCCTGCATGCACTGGTCTGCTTCTGTACCTTCCATCGAGAAAATCTTGGCCTCAACTTGCCATTGTCCGGCGTCTCCTGACAACGTCACGCCCGCCCCCTCTGTATGCCGTGCACCGCCCGATCTATCGTGGTCTACCCCCCACACACACAAAAAAAAAGACATATCCTGGGCGCTGTGGCGGAGATCTGGGTGCTGATCCTGTTCAACATCGGGCTGTTCGCTTGGGTGGGCGTGATCCTCTTCTCCGGGACGGAGGAAGGGGGCAAGCAGTTCTCGGACCTGTGCGAGGCAAGCTGGCGCCTCTTTGTCCTTTTCACCACCACCAACTTCCCGACAATCATGTGAGAGAAGGAGAGCTTATTTTTTTTGTTGTCTTTCTGCGCGGTCCGCTGTTGCGCTCTTCTCGGGCGGGCACGTTTCCCTTCCCCGACGCGTTTGTTTGTTTGTTTTCCCCTACGCTGCTGTGCGTTCTTGGTTCCTCGGTCCGCAATTTGTGTGATTGTTTTGCGGTGGCAAGATCGTTTTTTTTTTGCTGTTTCGTTCGGACCTTTCGGTAATTGTTATTTTGTTCCGGGCCGGCCGTTTTTTTTCCGGATTTATGCGCTGGTGGTGGTGCCGTCGTCTAACATTGTTGCTGCTGCTGCTGCTGCTGCTGTGTTTTTTTTTTGTGTGTCCTTCTTCCGCCCCACCGTGTGGGGTTTTCCTCCTCTCCTCTTGGCTGTCTTTCAGGATGACGGCGCTCGACCAGGTGCGGGCGACGATAATCTTCTTCGCCTTCTTCGTGATCCTCAACGTCTTCTTCCTGGCGCCGCTGTCTCTGGCGTTCATCTTCAACGTGTTCCGCGGGGGTCAGTCCGGCATCCCGCAGATGGAAGAGGAGATACGCCTCAGGAGTACCGCGGCCGCCTTCACGTGCGTGCTTGTCGCATCGAGAGTGGTTTTTGTTGTGGGAAGCGTTGGTGCTTTGTTTTGTTTGCTTGTTCAGCAATGTACTGTGTTTTGGTCGTCAGTTTGTTCGGTACGCTTATCATGCTGTTGACGATTTGTTGTTGGCGTGGGTTTTTTTCTTGTGTTGGGTGTGGATTGTGTTATAGGTTTGTCGTTGGTTGGGCGAGTGCTTCGTGTTTTGTCTTAGCTGGGGCAAGTTTATTGCTTTGACGTAGAAGCCGTGGGCACGAAACCCTTGCAACGGTGAACAGTTAGTTGCAAGCCGCCCCACCGCGGTCTCCATGAACTTAGGAACTTAGGACTGGATGTCCTGGTGGCGGTGGTGTGTCATGATTCATGGCGTCTCCTGGTGAAATAATTTGATTACAAACGGCCAGTTCATCTGTTCAAACGTCGTCAGTGATTGAGAACCGATTTTAAATACAAGCATTTCTTTTTTTTCTTTGTTCGGTGACTTGAGTGGGAGGCGAACCGTGCACTTGTAATCATGGCACGCCGAGATTTACCGCAAACGAATGATTCCTATGCCATGCCTTGTGCTGCCGCTGCACCAGCCTCCTGGACGACCGACAGTCTGGACAGGTCTTGAGCGCTAACATGGGTGCCTTTCTGCTGGAGCTCCACTCCATGCGAGGCGTCGCCAGCCGCGAGCTGTCGAGGCTGCAAGGGCTCATCGACGAGGTCGGCGCGAGGACGCCGGAAGAGGCCCCGTCCCTCACCCTGCAAGACTTCCAGGTATGTGCAGTACCGCAGGTCACACAGCTGCTGCACAAGTATGGGCCTCTGTCTGGCTGGGTAGAGTGCATTCGTTTTGGCACCGTGTTATTTTGCCGTTTTTGACAGACAGAGGTCTCTGTGTTTGTCTCATGCAGTGTGGCATAGTTTGTGATTTTTTTTTGTGGGGAACGGTGTGGAGTGCGTTATCATGAGTCAACCCACGTCGTGTGGGTGATCGTGTTGCTTTCTTGGTTAGACCGCGCCATACTTTTTTTTTAGCGTCAAAGTCTTGGCGGGATAAGGAAACCAAGTGTCCCTCTGACGTATGGTATGCATAGAATGGGCGCATACCGTTTGACACGGGGAACTTCTCTCCTGCAGTAAAAGCGCTTCGCTTCGACAACGATAGCCCTTTGGCATTACCCTTGGCATTAATAGGTACTTCGTATATCCGAAGCCGCTTCTCCTCTGTTTGGGTCGTTGTCTGCAGTTGACACGGGACAAACTATAGCCTTTTTTTCTTTTTTTCTTCGCCCCTCGTCCGCGCGTTGGAAGGACGCCGTTGATGTGCTGGACCGCTCTCGGGAGCACGCGGAGTGGATCACTGAGATTCAGTGGTACTACCCTCAGCTATACCAATCCCCCGGCTTCCGCCGGCTGACGAGGATCGTCAAGCACAAGCGGGTGACGTTCTGGCCGGGCTGCTGCGGGACTCCTCAGTTTTCGGTGAGTTTACTCTAGTTCTCGTCAACACATTTTTTTTTTCATTTTTTTCATTCTGCCACTGCTGTCGGTGTGTATCGTTGAGATTTTGTTATCTGCGCACTTACAATATACCGCGATTTTGTTTTTCTGTTCATGGTGCGCACTATTGCAGGACCTTGCTTCATGCGCCCAAGTAGTGACTCACGGCAAGTACTGCTGTGTAGCGATGACCTCGGTGCCATCGTTCGTCGGCGTTGCGATGCTTGCGATCATTGTTCCGTGCTGCGCTTTTTAAGTAATTTGCTTGTTAGGCGTGACACGGACACGTCCTGTTGATGTTGTCTTGATTAAATTAAAAGAGAAAGGGACGCCTCTGGTCTCTTGTGTGTCTTGCATGTTTGCGCGCGCTCTGCTGTGTCTGTCGTAGATGGTGCCACTCGTGGCGAAATCCCGAGCTACAACATGATGGTCATGCCGAGGTTGGTTGCCAGCGGGCGGATGTGTGTGGTCGACTCACGGGTATCCTTTACTCGTGAATAGTCATGCACCGGGTTCCGGGTAATCCCGAAGGACGCCGTTTGCAGGATACCACCCCTAGAACCTTTAACCCCTTGTGGGCTGCAAACCCCCACTTTGCGTAATGTTTGGAAGCCCCCTCGCCTCTCTCTCTGTCACCTGGTGTCCCCATCCGACTCTTCGTCTTTTTTTTTTTTTATGAATCAGATGCTTTTGATCGACGCGGTCGACACGTTCCTTCTGGTGATGTCGTTCGCGGCTCTGTGGCTCGCCAAGTCTTTCTCAGCGTCGGAACACGATTCAGAGCGGTACGACTGGGTGCAGGTAAGCACGCACGCAAGAGGAAGAGAATCGAAAAAGCGCTAAATACTATTTACGTGATTGTGAACGTGTGATTGAGTGATCTAGTGACGCATTATTTTATGACGCGAATTGAACGAATGAAGCGGCAATCCCGAATCGTGTGGTCTACGTTTAGGGTGGAAACGTCTAGTGAAGGAGTGTAAGGTGGATGAAAGGATGCGAGAACGTCGAGTAAGCGAGTGAGGGATTACTCAACGAGATAATGAACGGCCGAACCACCGAAGTGATGTACGTACGGGTGGGAGTGGATGGAATGATGCGAGAACATCGAGTAAGCGAGTGAATTACGGGAAATGCGAGTGAGCGAACGAACCACCAAACCGGACCGTTTGATCTGCACAATAGGGATGGAAGGGTGCGAGAAGACTGTATATTCGAATCAATCGAAGGACATCCCAAACATACCATGCAAGCCTTCCCTGCGGAGCACCCAAATTCGGGTCTCGAGCAAAAATGATTGAGGCCGACGTCGTCAAAGGAGCGGTGCTGACTGATCCTGGCAAGGGCAAAGTGGTCGCGCGACTATTACCAGCCCTCAAACTTCATCCGTTCACCGTGTGTTTTTTTGCGCAAGTGTGCAGAACGGAGGAACTAAATAGGCCATTTTGTAGGTGGCGCGCGTAGTCTTGTCGTGCGCGTATGTATGCGTAAGCGAAAACCATGTGCTTCCATTCATTCACGCGCGTGGCATACTGTTGTCCAATTGGTAAAATACGTCGGACGTGCACAGGCCTGATAAAACAAGCGGAAGACCCCCTTTTCTGAAACTGCGTCCTGTCTGTTCGTGCATGCGTTTTCGTGCTGGCGTCATGCATGACTTGGGGATGTCGGCAGATCACCATCGTGGCGAGCTTTTGCGTGACCGTCGGGCTGCGTGCGGCGGTGCGGGGGTGGTACAACTGCCTCCAGCGTCCGACGTGGGCGTTCAGCGCTCTGGTGACCTTCTTCAGCGTGGTCGTTCTCGTCCTTGTATTCTTGTGAGTGTGCTCGAGAAAGAGAGACGAGACTGAGAGAGGGGGGAGGGAGAGGGAACAGCAGAGGGGCAGGGAGAGACAGACAGACAGACAGACAGACAAAGGTGGAGGGAGAGAGGGGGAGAGAAAGAGAAGTGGTTTGACTGACTCGGCCTCACCCTGCCATGTCATGACTCCTTCAATTTGGTACTGTTGTGCGCCCTGCCCCCGTCCAAAGTAGCTTAAGGACAGGCGATTTGTTGTTGCCGATATTTTTCCCGTTCGGAGGTACTTGTTGCGAATAGGAGTTGACGGTTGAACGCGTATGGTCCCCTACTGGGGAAGCGGTGGGCGCGCGTGATTATTCTACGAGAGGCGGGATGCAGACAAAAGTCGAGTAGCGGACACAGGCTTCTTGTTTGGGGGGCTCTTTGCTCTCTTCGAACGTTTTTTTTTTTTTCTAGTTCCGCATGGCGGGAGTAGCGTGGAGTGCTGGCACTCGAAAGAACGTGGGAGTTATGCACCAGCCAGTACCGCCACAAGAGAAGAGATTTTCCAATCACAAGAACGACGACTTCCCCTTTTCTCGTTTTCGGTGTCAGGGTTCCGGCGGAACAGTGGGGCTGGAGGCTCCTGCGCGCCCTCCGCGTGACCCACATGGCGCTCGCGATGGCGTTCTTGCCCAGGATGGCCTTCCTCATCCGGACCCTCCTGACCATGACCAAGCGGGCGGCCACACCCGCGAGCGTTCTGCTGGCTTGGTCCTTCTTCATGGCGGTCCTCGGCGCGCAGGTGTGGCTGCTGGGTGTGTAAATGTGTGTGGTGTGTTGTGTTTTCTTAATGAGCATCTAGCACGCTATAACCAGCTGACCAACGGCAAGGCATCAATCTCAGTGCGGCTGAAAACAGAAGACGCTTCTAGAGGTCATGATCTGGGACCCCTTGGAGAGGGAGGCTGTGTGTGTATGTGTGTTCGTGTGACTATTTTTTTTCTTTCCGTTCGAGATCGACCGACCTGTCAGTGCTTGTACCAATGACAATGACAGCATCTAACAGGAGCGGACGGCGGGGTTGGGTGGTGCGTGTTGAATTATTCCTCCGCTTTTGTGTTTGTGTTGAGTTGGATCGCGACCGTGGCAACCGTTCGGTCGACGAGCCAAAAGACGCCAGCCGCTGTGCATATGAATGCACAGCAGTAGCGAGACAGGCAGTAAAGCCAACATTTTTCTTCTAATCGGCTGGTCTCCCACAGGGAGATCGATCACCTATATAGGATATTTACTAGACGGGACTGTGTGTATGACATGTTTTTTTCATTGTTATTTTGCCTTTTGAGTCTGTATGTATGGCGCTGGCGGCTGACCGAAGGAAGAAGTTTGTAGTCCACGTCGGCGTCCACCGTAGCCTACCCTCTGTTTGGTGTACAAGACATGCCAATCGTTCTCGCACGTATGATATGGATGCTGGTGATGCTGTTGCTGCTGTGAGTGTTGCTTTTCATCGTCGTCGGTGATGTTTGGAGGTTTTGTGTGCTTGTGGCACCGCAGTAACCTTTTTTTTTCGTCGTGGGTCTTGTTGTCGTCCGTCCGTCCGTCCGTCCGTCCGTCCTGCTTGCTTCTGCTGCTGCTGCTGCTGCTGCTGCTGCTGCTGCTGCTGCTGCTGCCGTAAAAAAACAAAAGATTTTTGGCGGCAAGGTGTGCGTGCCGGAACTGGCCGAGAATGACGAGAGTTGCCTCGGAACCACGGTCGTCTCCAATACGTACACGGACACGGGGCTCATGCTGCTCAACTTCAACGACGTGCCTACTTCGTTCGTGACGCTCCTCGTGTTGTTCGTTGTCAACGACTGGTGAGTGTTGCGTGGCTGCCTGGACAAACCCCATGGCCTGATTTCCCGCTGCTGCTCTCTCTCTTGCTCTGCCCCTCCTCTTCATGTTTCCCACTTTTCGCCCGTTCGTGTTTTTTGTTTACTTTCTTATTCTTAATTTTTTTTTCAGTTTTTTTGCCTCTCCTTTGTCCGTTTCGTTGTTTTTGGTATGGACCAGGGTCAGGTTCCGGTGGCAATGATGGAAGAGTAAAGCAATACAAATGAAAGCTGCATGCTGACTGGCCCCGCAATAGCTGACCAGTTTCATTGCCATGCTTGACCCCCCCCCCCCCCCCCGCGCGCGGGCGCTCGAAAAACAAAGGACGTGATCGTGGAACGAGTTTGTGGACGTTACCGGCACGGGCTGGGCCCGCGCCTTCTTCATCGTGAACTACATCATGGGCGTTGCTGTGATCCTGAACCTTGTCGTGACGGTCATCATCAACTCCTTCTGGGACGAGTACAAGAACACCAACAAGCCTGCCCTCGCACAGAGGCAGCTCCACGCCGACGCCGCCGCCTCGGCGCGCTACCGCCCGAACCCTTCGGGCCGCGGGCCTTCGCCCCGCCGCCCCGCGGCCGGCGGCGGCGGCGGCGGCGACGGCGACGGTTTCGGCGACACTTGTCCCGAAGGCGCGGAAGCAACAGCGGCGGCGGCGGCGACAGGGGAGAATGGTGGGAGGGATGGCTCTGAGAGGAGAGGGGTGTTGGCGGCGGGGGAGGGTGGAGATGGAGCGGCGGGCGGCGACGGCCGTGGCGGCACCGGCACCGGCACCGCCAGAAACACACCTCACTTGCCGTCGGCTAGGGGGGGTTGGGGTTGGCAAGGAGTTTCTCTGGCGGACGAGGAGGAGGCGGTAGGTTCGAGCGAGCCGCCGAGCCGACGGGGGTCGAGAGAAGGGAGCGGCAACTTGCTGCACGGCGGCGGCGGCGGCGGCGGCGGCGGCGGCGGCGGTGCCAGCCAGCACCTGGTCCTGCCGAGTGGAGAAGAGGCGGGCATGGACGCCGAGAGGAATGTCGCGAGGAGGGCGTCGAGGAAGCGGTTGGACGTGAGCGGGATCACGTAGTTTTCGTCATGGTTTGTTGGTTGTGACTAGTGGTTTGTCGTCGTCGTTGTAATTGTCGTTGTGGTTGTCGTCCCGGTTTTGTCCGGCGAGATGTTGGTAAAGAGGGGAGGGGATAGGCCAGTTTGTGCGCGTACAGGCTACTTGTTGGTACAAGAGGGAGATTAGGAAAAAGAGGGGAGTTTGTGTGCATGAAGGGTACTTGGTCCTCACCTTCTCGCAAGGGCGCTTCAGGTCATCCTTGTCAATACTGCTTGTTTTGTGTGTGTGTTTTTTTATTGCGTAAGTCAACCCTAGGGCTTTTGTTCTTGTTTTTTGGCATAAGTCAACGTTAAGAGTGAGAGGGAGGGATGTGTGCACGGAAAATGTGGTGAATACTTTCGGTGGGTGAGGTGCGATAGCTTTGCGTTTCGGTTGTGTTCCGTTTGGTTGAAGGGGCTTTGGAGGCTTTTGGGTGTCCTAAGGCGTTGGAGGATACTTCTAGAACCGGGAGGCATGGAGAGGGGCGTGCATTAGATTTTGCGGCCACCCATGAGCCATATCCGTGGTGCTTTGTCAGTGAAACTGTTAGGTTTGCACGTCTTACTCTTTCCTTGTTGGAGGACGTGTTTGTTATTTATTCCAGCTGTGCCCATCGAACTTTTGTGTGAGATTGGATGGAAACCACCAGCCTATGGTCATGGTATACTACCCCAGCACCCGTCTGATGGGAGTAGAAAACTGCCGTACAATACAGACGAAGGATTGTTTTAGGATTCAAAGAATTGCGAGAGGCAGGCAAGAGAGCGAGCGAGTAGAGCGACAGAGACAGAGTTAGTGCAGTATAAGAGAGACAGGCAATGATAGTTGAATCTAAGACAGTGTCAAAGGATTTTAGGAGACCACGATTTTTCGTAGTTGTCGGGCCCGCCTCCTAGAGAACGGAATCGATGCGGGTGATGGATTTTTTGTTGGCAGCATTTGGGGATTGTTTGCGCCGTCATCTACACACACACGAAGAATCTGCCCGACGTAAGCAGCACACCTCGTGTGTACTTGTATGCCTCCAACGAATTCCCCTGCGCTACGGGGACATGACACCATGCAGTGGCTCTACGATAATGTTCAAGTTTATCTCAAGAGAAGACTCCTGGTACATCTCTCCCCTGCCTTTCAACAAGTCGGGGGGCACTCGATTGAACCATCGGCTTGAGTATATATATTTTTTACGCGGAGAGGTTCCAATCCATCCGTCGGGACGAGACCTCGGGACGAGACCTCGGGACGAGTCTCACGACGTTGTTCCTGCTGTCGCTACTTGCGGCTTTCTTCGCGAAAAGCTAGAATTTCCCTACTTTTTGGCCAGCTGTCCTCTCTCGACAGCACACCTTGTACACTGAAAAACTCGGTCTTGGGCACATGCATGTAGAGAGCTCATTGGTGTTCTCGAGATGACGGTGCGGCATGCATTGTGCCATCCTTTTCCATTCCAGATTTCATTTCCCGCCCGGCACCCCACTTTTTCATTTTTCATTGGGTCCGCGGCGGTTGACAATCATGATCATCGCCATCCTGGCAGTTGGCGCTGGTGTGTAGAACCGGCCGTTTCATTACAACTATACCTCGGGCCTGTTTGGCTAAAGGTTGGACATGGAAAAAAAAAACATTTGCTGCGCCTAGACGATACTCTGAGGACGTTAATCAATTTTCGTCTGCGCTGACCGAGAGTCTGGAGTTTACAGAGGGACATCGATCGCCATGCAAACGAATTTCAACATTTTCGTCTATCAAACCTCGAATTATCACGGACGAGGTGATGGGCAGTGGGGGCTCTTGGCGGCACATTGTGAAAGACGCATCGCAACTCTCTCTCGCAAATTGCCGGACTGCGCCGTGTCACGCACACTCTCGAAGCATTAGAAAATCAGGGCGCCTCATTATCTACGAAGGATGTCTATCCAAGATCTGCTCCTGTGAATACGCGTATGTATCTATTCCTCACTTCTTTAATTTCTAAACCAACCAATAAGTTTGAATCGTAAGCCCACCAACCAGACATTGACAAGCGCTACCGCGACACCCACCTTTTGCCCCACCCGAGGTCATCAATCTAAGAACACCACGAGTGTTTTTCAGAGCTCAGACCGTCATAGCCTATCTCACTGGACTTGGGAAGAAGAAACAAGCCACGACCGCTTGCTACTCGCTATTCCGGATCCCTCTCGTATGCATTGCAGTCTAGGCATTGCCTGCGGGCGGCTCATATCCTGGGCATCTATGACACACTCAGGGTCTTTAAACACGCGAGTCACCAAAAGCTGGGCGAGTTTTGAACGGGCACGTGAAATTATCACACACAGCAGTCGGTCTTCCAACCTCGTCACGCCCTCATTTGTCGATGACGCCAACGACAGAAAACAACCAGCACATACACAACAAACCAACGACCCGCACCCCTAACCCCACACCCCTCACGCACAGCCTCCGCAGACAGACCCTTGCCTCTACCCGCTCTGTTGGTCGAATTTCGTTGTCTATGGACGGGAAAGCGTCACCGCTGCAGCGTCGTCTAAGGTGCGCCTCCCGCTCTGTCTATGCCTATGGTACGACTTCTCGCTCCGTGTTATCTTTCGGACGGTATGCTCTACAACCCACTCGTTTGTGTCTGTGCACTCCATGTATTGGACTACTTGTATTGTGCTGATGGTCGTACGTGTGTCTGCAAAGCGCCTCGAGGCCACACCCTTCCGCCCGCGTCTCGCTCTACATACATAGCTTGCAGCTAAAATAGGATAGACAACGCTGACACTCTAAATAACAAGGATCGTGCACCACCAACCGAGCAGACAAGCGTCACCGCGACGCCTACCCCTTGGTTCATCCGGGAAATCAATCAAAGAATACACCATGCTCTCAGAGCTCAGACAAGAGAAAAAGCTCATCATAACTTCTGTTCACTGGACTGTTGAGAAGAACATGTACAGCAGTGTGGCATCCTACTTGAAGGATGTGACACGCTTCGGACAACCCGCAGCAGGGGGAAGGAGGGGCGGCGCACTGGTGGTTCGCACCAAAATGCAAGTACTCTGTTTTCTCACACGAAGCGTCACACGAGGCGCCATGAGGCGCGCCTTTTGCCTGCACGTGGTTGGTTTAATCTCACTATCACTCCCTCCCGCCCTTCTAGTCCTCCCCCTTCACCCTCATCATATTTCGCCTTCCTCTCCAATCTATCTGGTGAGATCAACATCCGCGAGGTACGCATGCCATCTATCAAAACGTTTTGTTTTCCTTTCTCTCCTTTACCCCCCCCCCCCCCCCTCTTATTATTTCTCCCCTCCCTTCCAGTGTCTGTCGCGCCTTCCTGCCCACTCTTCTCCCATCTTCCCGCTTTCCAGGGCACCTCCCCCCCGGCCTGTCACGGACGTTGGTATTGAGCGGTGTGTGGGAAAACAAATCCGCACCAACAACACACCGCCGCCGCCGCCCCGCCGCGACCACCGCATACATTTCGTCGTTGCCACCAAAGGATGTACAAACCCGGCCTTCCTCGCCTTTCACCGTACGCGCACCCGGTGCTGTTGCAGTGGACTAACCTACCAGCTGTGCGGCCTTGGCCTCGGCTTCGTGTCCTTATCGCCCCAGCCCACCCCCCGCTGCCGCCTCCTTCTCTTCCACCAACTCCTGACCCGCTGCCGCTGCTGTTCCTGCTGCCTGTGCGTCGGCGGTGGCGCTTGCCGTTGTTGTTGTTGTTGCTGCTGCCGCGGCATCAGCAGGCGGTGGTGGTGATCGTGGTCCTTCCGACGCCGATGCCAATGCCGGTGGCGCTATGGTATCGCCCACCAGCTCCATCGCTGCTTCGAACTGAGGAGTGAGTACGAAAAGGAACACACGCACGAAAAAAAAAACGTCTCAGGAGAGTGCGTACACTAGCAAATTGAAAACGCTACGACAGAAAAAATAACACCTTCGATTTTCAAGCGAAGAGGACCATAGGTGGCGGACAAGAGCAACATTTCGGCGCCATTTTAACCCCGGCCTCCTTGCCAAAAAGTCCCAAGGCAGACTGCCTTGGCTCTCTCCCAACCCGTAGACATTTGTGTTATTCTCTCAGAAAGAACCTTGTTCGTTGCACAATAAAGTGTTCGTTGCACAGCGGAGTGTACGAGACACAAACAAGAACGTACGACAGCAGACGAGGACGAGGCAAGCTCGCAACGACAATGAATACAACAGCAAGTCCGAAAGCACCACCTCGCACAAGAACAACGCCGTGCACATCGAGCAAAAAACCCGACGATGTGATTGGGGGGGGGGGCTACTCATGTTCTGCATGCCTTAGCTGACAATACCACTCTTCGAAAAAGAAACGCCTCCACGAAAAAACACCTCGTCCACTCACACCTCCACGACGAGAGCCTTTATGAGGAACGGAAGCATGCCCACCTTCTTGGAGAGCGAGTCCGCTGCGAAGAGCCACGTGGTGATCACCGCCAGCAATACCCCCGCCAGGTACGGTGTGGAGGCCTGAAGGGACCCCGTCGCCAAGAAGAGTCCCTTATCGGCGGACGTGAACAGCGGGCGCAAGCGAGCGGTGAGGGAGGGCAAACATGAATGAACGAACCGATCACAAGACTTGAACACGCGACAAATCTCGACCTTGCTTGCGAGTTCATCACTAACGAACCCCTAACTGGGCTAGGATTGGAAGGATTGGAAGGATTGGAAGGATTGGAAGGATTGGAAGGATTGGATGAACAGCCCGCGCTATAGCTGGCAGAGAGACAGAGAGAGAGAGAGAGAGATACCACAACTTCATTTCCTCTACATATACATATACACATAGTCTAGGTCTCAAGACCCGCTGTTAGGGATAGCTTTGCATGAAGAACCCGGGCTATAGCTACTGTAGCAGAGAGAGAGAGAGGGAGAGACAGACAGACAGACAGACAGACAGGCAGGCAGGCAGAGACAGTGAGAACCCGCACTACCGCCATGATTGCCAGATCCATTGTTTACATTCGTGCTTGTGGTGGGCCGTCCAATAGGCTGTCATAAGATGCCGCCACTGCTGGAAAATCTCGTCGTCCTGTCTCCATAACTAACTGACCGACTGACTGACTGACTGGTTGCTTGGTTGGCTCACCTGCTGGACGAATGAGCCTGTGGATTTGCCGAGAGGGTTCCCTATTACGTCGACGGCAGCCTTGCCCTTACGCTTCTCCTCCTGGGACAGGGGAATGTAGGCCATTTCTTTGCAGGGGTCGAAGAGCGAGTACCTAGGGATTTGGACGGTGGGCGAGCAGTAGCAGCAGGAGCAGCACAGAGGCACCACCAGCAGCAGTGGCATCAGCAACACGAGCAGAGCTTGCATTTTTTTGCTTTGGAGCAAAACAAATAGCAGCATTCGCGGCAGGAGCAGGGGCAGCAGGAGTAGCAAGACACCCGGCAAGCAGAATCAACACACCCAACCGAAGCAAAAATAAAACACGATGCCCTCTTATTTTTTATGAATCTCTCACTCCTCTTTCTAACTTCGCACTTCTCTGTTCCATGCTCCCATCAAATGTCACACCTAAATTTAGCAGTTTCTACTTCCCGTATCGTCTAGCTTCCTTCGAGACGCTCTCTCTTTCTCTCCATCTCTCTCTGTGTCGTTCTTCCTCTCTCTCTCCTTCTCTCTCCCTCTCTCTCTGTCGCCCTCCCTCTATCTCTCCCCCTGTCTCCCTTACTTGCAAGACTTGGACAGCACGTTCTGGGCCGCGCCCGCCAGCACCGCCAGGGTGAGAGGGTTGGTGCTCAAAGCCCCCAGCATCTCCTGCATCGGCGCCGCATCCCCGAACATAGACAGCGAGAAGAACCCCACCTGTTCGGGGGAGGGGTGCGATGACAAGACCATGGCACAAGAGCACCACACCAAGAGTCAGCCGGGGTGTGAGCGTGAGCGTGCAAGGGTGTGTATGGCAGGGCATTGCTAAACGCGTACAACTCTCAAAGAGTATTTTGAGAGTCAACAATACTCAGTCTCGGTCGGTGACTATGTAGCACCTACTACTGGACACAGGTCCGAGGAGATGGCGACAGCGAGCACCGCCGTCTGGCGCGAGAGGCTTGCGCGCATGGTCCGCAGATTTTTCGTCGAACAACACGGGGTTTTGGGTCCCCAAACTTGTCCACGTACGTCCGCCTTTCTCGAAAAAACAGCGAGAAACACGCGCAACAAGCGACAACAACAACAACAACAACAATAACAACAACAACAAAGTGTACAAACCAGACAGGCATACATAAGCGCACGGTCATGATGGCTGGTCTGTCTGTCGAAAGTCATCTGGATTCATGCCTTTACGCTCAGTGTGCAAGCCGCCCCGCCCCGCCCCCCCCTCGCCTTTTCTCCTCTCACCCCGGTTAAAAGAAGCACCACCGGCGTCGCCTTCGCTGCCGTGCCCCACCCGTAGTTCTTGAAAACCTGCCCGCCCAGGAGCATCATGCCCAGCGTTACCAGGCCGGTGGTGCTCGAGAAGTTGCCCTGCAGCGTGGGAAAAACGGCAAAAGTCGCACCGGATGTAGACGGACATACGGCGTATTAAAAAAAAAAGAGTTGCAGTAAACTAGATTCTGCAAAGCGTGCGGGTGAGGCACCGCTATAAGTTTACCTGCGGTGTCGATATCGTCGAGGATATCACCATCGCCATCAAGAAGGGGGCCGGGGGCAGGGGGCACCACTGCACCTTCGCTGCAAAGCTACTCATTCGAAACGAATATTTTCCCTTCAATTGTTTCCAGCCACCCCCTGGTTGAGTTATTGGAGTTGTGTAACGAGGGCGTGGGGGAAAGGGGCCTCGTCACAAGGTCGAGAAGATCGACGAAAAGAAAGTTCCTTGGACCGTTCCAGAACTTTTTTTTCTCTCTCCAACACACGCACACTTCTAGAGTCCGAAAAAGTCTTACTGGCACTATCTATATTGGGATTCTATTGCGTGCACGCTACGACCACTCGATGGGTCCTCCTCTCGACAGCAGGCCAATAGCCCGAAACGAATATGGTCAAGGACGCGGCGGCGGTGCAGCCAGCAACTCGCAGCCAGCAGACTAGAACGAGTTGCTGCTGGTGTGTGAGGGAAAGGCTCCAACAGGCAGCAGACGGAACCGATTCTCTCACCATGAAGGCGGAGTAGTCGTTAGGGTCAGGGTAAGCCATCTTCAGCTTCGCCTTCCACGTCACTTGAGTGAACGACAAACAGATACGAGTGACAACAGAGATCAGGGAAAAACAGAAACGAGAGAAATAAAGCGGCGTCCCTATCAAGCGGCGGCCCTTAGTTGGCTACTACCACTGCATCAGAGGAAGGAGAAAAAGGCCCAGGTGGACCGACCGAGACGGACAAACAGCACGTAGCCATTTAAGCCCGATTCTCGTTTAAGCCTGTTTCTCTGGCTCGCCTCCGATGCTTCAACGTGAATGATACGTAGAACGAGTTGACCAAAGGAGCCGCGTTTAGCCATCGGAAGAGAGTGTAAAGAAGTAATATCGTTCGTGGAGTGTCAAGACACGCGAAAAGCCTGTGCGACGTTACTTGGTGGTAGGGGGAGAGAGTGTGCGGCGACAATGAGCCCCCCCTCAAGGACAGAAACAGGCCACGTCGCTCCCAACAGGACGCGATTTTTCCCAAAACAATATCAACCACCAAGAATTGCGGGAGGGAAAAATAATCCCCACCTCTCATAATCGAGAACAAGCTGAACCAAGCACAAGCACCAGCCGTCGTTGTCGGCAGAAAGCTCCCCCCTCCGTTTCGTCACACACCATCGCCATCATGATCCACGTCTGCCTGTCTACCCATAGGCACATGGAACCACCACCCACCTTCAACGATGTTGATGCTGGTGCCGTACGCAATGACAAGGATAGCGACGTCGCGAAGGTAGTCATTGGCCCCGAGGAAGGCGGCGCTCTCCTTGAGGGTCAGGCTGGTCGTCTCCTTCATGCCGGCGGCGCTATTCCCGACGGGGCAGAACCAGAAGCCAAGAGGGCGGGGGGGGGGGGGGTACGCCGACAGGGACAGCGGCAATACAAGATATGGCGATGATGATGATGACGATGACGTTCACGGCAAAAACATGGAAATGGACAACGCCAACACACCAACAATAGAAATGGGGACAGCGTCTATGGCAGTGACAACGACGACCAATGACCACAGCCAAAAAGCAGCACGCGTCGTCAAAAAGAGTCATAGAAAAAAAAAAAACGAATGAAATACTCGGGCAGCCAAAACATCACCGGTGGTACACCCAAGAACCACAAAACAACGAGGATGATGATACATAGCCGTAACAAAGGCGCCCTTGGCACAACGCCGTCAAGACCACCGCACCGCGTTGCGGGTTGTTGCCTTACCTGTCAGCATCGACACATTCCGGGTCCGTGATAACGTTTTCCTGCATCCACCGGTAACACCCGGCCACGACCAGCCCACCCGTGACGACTGCGCCCATGAGCAGCTGCAGAGACACCCCCCACTTGTCCACGTCTGGGGGAAGGGACTGCCGGATCGAGGACACCAGCCTGTTCGATCGTGTCCATCGCCGGAGGCGGTGCAGAAAGGTCGTGGAAATAAGACGGCGTTCAAAAAATCCGAGCGATAAAACAAGAGGGGGGAAACGAAGGAGCAAGCAGACAAACAAGCAGATTCAACTACACTACTATGTTGGTTACGGTAATCATCATCGCTAGAAGGACGGGGGGGTACCTAAGCGAGCACGGCGGCAAGAAGCTGTCACGGCGGCAAGAAGCTGTCCCCGTCTTGGGGGGGGGGGGGGGG